AACATTGGGCTGAAACATAAAAATAATTGTGAGGATCGTGCAGGGCCGGGTAGTGTTTCATGGTGTTGGAACTGACTTTTTGACACCTGTCAACCTCCTTTGAGTATATTCCTTCATGTTCCTGGGTTCTGCGATGCACTGCAACATCCCATGGAGATTCATGAAATGTTGAAGAAATGTCTTACCAAGAGAAAGATTTCCTTTCAGGAGATGTAGAACATCACAAGAGATTTTTGTGTAGGGGCTCCTAGGAGGAAAAAAGCTTTACCAGATACCATAGTCAGCCCCAGTATTTCTTGTCTCCCAGCCACCCAGCCACCCTCACGCTTTGAGCTTTTTTAAAGGTTCTTGTAGGCACAAGAAGAACCCTGGTGGCGTAGTATTATGACCGCTTCATAGGAGAAAGGGGGCTTTCTACTCCTGTAAACAGCCTCAGAAACTCACAAGGGTAGTTCTACACTCTCCTAGAGGGTCCTTGAGTCAGCATCAATTTGATGGAAGTGAGTTTGGGTTCTCTGAGTTTGAGGGCACAAGATTATCAGGAACTTTCATCAAGGTAGCAAAGGGAATTTGAGTAATATCCAGAAATGTTGTCATGGACTCTGTGCATGCTCTCAGTCTCAACCTTCACTCTCTCACCCTGTCTTACCAGCATTTCAAATATCAGCACAATCACCAATGGTAAACAGATTTCAGTGGAGTTTCCAGACTGAAAATGAGTCAGAAGAATGAAAAGACAGTCGCTTCTGAGAGATTAGCCATGAAAACCCTTATGAATAGCAGCAGAAAATGGTCCAATATCATGCTAGAAGATGAACTCCTCAAAACAGGAACTGCTGAAAGTATGAGAACTGCATCTCTAGGGTAGTGTTGGTTATAATGATAGATGGAGCAAAGCTTCCTGAACTTTGATCTGCTGATGGGGCGCCATGTAAAATGAGAAGAAACACTCTCAAAGATCCATTATTAATAAGACTGCCCAAAATACTAATCTAGGAAAGTTTAAAGTCATCAACAATATTAAATGGAACACATAAAGATTGATATCCTAGTTATTACTGAGCTAAAATGGGCTAAAATGGATCCTTTTGAGTTAGATAATCAAATAGTCCTACTATGCCAAAAATAAACTCAAGAGAAATGACATCACATTTATCGTCAAAAGGAACAGTTCAAGACACATCTTGAAGTACAATGCCATATGTGATAGGGTAATATCCGTAAGCCTAATACAAGTTAATACAAGCTAATACAACTATTATTCAAATGTGTGCACCAACTACTAAAGCCAGTGATGAAGAGATGGATTACTACTAACTTCTTGAATCTGAAATTGAGCAAGCAATCAAGATGCATTTTTAAATAATTATTGACAATTGGAATAGGAAAGTTGGAGCCATAGAGAAAGGGTCCGTAGCTGGAACATATGGCCATAGTGATAGAAAAGAAGTTGGGGAGTTTGCATAATAGAATTGTAGACGATCAATGACTTATTCACGGCAAATATATTTTTGTTCAACAATGTAAACAGCAACTATATATGTGGACTTTGACAGATGGAATACAGAGGAATCAAATAAGATATATCTGGGGAAAGAGAGGATGGAGAAGCTCAATACCAGGAGCCAAAATGATGTAAGAGACCAGGAATGGAACAGACCATCAATGGTTTATTGGTAAGTTCACATTGAAACTGAAGAAGATAAGTCCAGATGACCTTGAGTATATCTCAATTGGATTTAGAGAGCATTGAAGGAACTTAATTTACACATTGAACACTAATGAGCAGAGACCAGGCCAGTTACTCAATGGCACCAAGAACATCATACACGAAGAAAGTAAAAGGTAATTAAAAAGATAGGGAAAGGAAGAAAATAACAAAATGGATGTCAGAAGAGACTTCGAAAGTTGCTCTTGAACATAGAGTAGCTAAAATGACTAGAAGAAGTTATCAAGTAAAATTTCTCAGCAGAAAATTTTAAAGGTTGCCCAAGAAGATGAAGCATTATAATGAAATATACAAAAACCTGGAGTTAGGAAATCAAAAGGGAAGAACACAGCATATCTCAAGCTGAAAGAACTGAAGGAAAAAATCAGTAAAATTCAATATAGAAGAATTCTATGAACAAAATACTGATTGATGAGACCACATGGAAGAAGCACACCAGCCTATCCAACCACGAGGTGTCAAAGGGATCAGGTGTAAGGCATCATCAGAACAAAAAATCTTACCATAGTGAATGATGGGGGGAGTGC